CTCGATCCATGGCATGGTGATCCGAGCCCTTGGCCACGTATTCGCATTGAGAGTGCCGACTCGGAACGTGCCTAGGTCACCGTGATCCTCAGGAGGGAGCCCTTCCAACAAGGAGATGACCTGCTTCTGCTGCAGCGCTGCTTGAGACTCTCCATGGGGTGACTCAACACTGACTCCCTTGGCTCGAGACCCAGCCCGTGGCGACTGAACCTGGGTGGGCACTTCGTCCGAGAATCGGTTGCCCCCAGGATTTTGCGATCTAACTCCAGACTCCCACGGTGGATTCACACAATCTACTCTGAGACAGCCAGGCTCGAGGAGCACCTGGCTGTCGCGCTCTGACGCTGAAATTTCCTTCCTGCATCCGACAAAAGGTTTGGACGGGAGGGCCGCCAAGTTCTGGTTGGGCTTGACGGCTGCGTTCTGACTGGCTGTCACGTACTCGGCGCTCTGACCTGTTGCCGACACACGTGGCCGCCCTTCCCCGCAATTAAACTCTGGGGAGACCAGGCTCGAGGCGCACCTGGACTCCGATCCGACAAAACTGGTAGACGCCACCCGCGAAGTCGACGTCGCCACCGCTGCCGAGGGAGTCGCCGACACTGGCGCCGACGGCGACACCGCAGCACGGGGAGTAGCCAACCCCGACGCTGACCACTCAACCGAAGAAGATGGCTTCGCCGATGCGCACGTGGCAAACGACTTCGAGGACCAAGAACAGGGCGTCGCCGAACTCGACCACGTCGCCCCCACCTGAGTCGAGCTCGCGCTGTTGCTAAAGGCCTGCCCGTTTAGCAGCTTTGACGCCACCGTCAGCAGCGACGCGAGAGCGAATGTCCACCTGTGGGGCAGCCTTTCCCATCGCATCCACCGTCGCCTCAGCGGTTGAGCACGGCGTCGCTGTCTCTGGGCTTGGCGATACCCCTGGTCCAGGCTCGATCCCCCCAGTGGCTGCTGCTTGTTCGCCAGGGCCGTCATCAGCGGTACGTCGTCGCTTAGCTTGAAGACGTTTGAGGTGCTCCTTGTGCTGGTCGTGAGCGGAGTTGGCTTTCTCCAGCGCTTGGCGAAACACCGATCCCAGCACCTCTTGCATCTGCTTCGCCACGTCGTTCTTACGTTCCTCGAGCTCACGTAGGTCTTCTTCAGACACCTCGTAGCTGCCCTTGACAGCCTCCACATCAATGAAATCGTCACAAGAAATTAAGGCTGGCCAACTCCATTTCGCCGTCAATGAGCTTTCGCAGGCTGATGCTTGCCAGGCCGCTGGACTCCGTCGCTGGTGGTCCCTTGTGCTGGCTCTGGAGCTCCACCAGGGCGGCTGCCACCTCGGCGTCGGCGGCCTGCAGCTCGTCGGCCAGGGCCCCGACCGTGGCTGCCAACTCTTCAGTCGCCCGACGCCAGCGCTCCAGCTTCTCGAACTCGCTGTTGAGGCGCTTCTCGAGCTTCTCCTGCTTCTGCTCCGCGGCAATGAGCCTCTGCCTCCCCGACGGCTTCGGGGGCGGAGCCGCTCTCTGCGCCAGGGCTCCATAGCGCGCGGCCCCCACAGCGTCCCCAGCCTCACGAGCCAAACGCTGTAGTTCGATGGCCTTGGCCTGAGGAATTTCGGGAACAGGTCCAGGAGGGAGTGCCGAGGAGAGGTTGCCTGTGCCCTTGCCACCGAGCGGATCTCCCTTGCCACCTTTGTAACCTTTCTTCCCTTTGCCCGCTCCCTTCCCCATCTCATCCGACACCTTGGGGGCCCCAGGGTCTTCCAGAGGTTGGGGTCGAGAGCCAAGCTTTTGGCCACAATGTTTGCAGCACATCGATCCTTTTGAGTTCTTCCGGCAACCGCAGTGGTGGCATAGAATTTCTCCTTTGGGCCCAGCCACCGTCTTCCAATCCTCCTCGTGCTTGCCTCGCTGGCTGTCCCATTTATCCCACTTATCAGCCGAAACTCCTCCCTCGGGTATAGTGCCTCCCCAGCGACGGGGCCTGGAGGCCTGGACCCACGGGCGGCGCTCCCACTCACCAGGGCCAGCAGGAGCCATGGCACGAGAGCTAGGAAAGGGATGTTGGAGGCTCGCGAACCCCTCGAGAGAGGGACCTCCTGACTGGTTGAAAGCTGCCGCGGACTAGCGGTATCCGTTCTTGCCAATGCGGGCTCAGCCCGCCAAAGCATGGGTCTTGAGCCAAAATGGCTTGAGCCAAAATGGCTACGGAGGAGTAGGAGGAGGAGAAGGAGGAGGAGGAGGGGGAGGGGGAGTGAGATGAGGAGGAGGAGGAGGAGGAGGAGCAGGAGGAGGAAGAAGAGGAGGAGGAGGCAGAGGCGGAGGAGGACGAGGAGAAGCAGGAGGAGGAGGAGGAGGACCAGCGTAAACCCAAGAATCATCAACGATGTTGGAATCAACCCTCCCTCCAAGCTCCTTCTTCACAGGCCCCTACAACGGTTCGTGTCCATTGCGGGAACTGCCTCGTTGGAAAACAACCGTTTGAAGACCCTGAAGCATTCCAAAACATTGTTCGGGAGATTCCAAAGCCACGGATCAACCTGACTGTTGCGTGTTGAGGACCCTGAATCGTGCCAGAACGCCATTCCTGGGACCTCAACACAGCGAACCAGCGTAACTGTCGAACCCTCAAAATCCGGACTCCTTCCAAAAACACCATTCCTGGTACGTTGACGATGGGAGTCCGTGAAACTCTTGCACGTTCGTAAACGAATGTGCGCGCCGCTGAGGCGAGGGCCACATGTTGAAAAGGAACCGCCCTCAATCCGTGAAACTCTTGCAAATGCTTAAAGCGAGTGTGCGCCGCGCGAAGGCGAGAACCAAATTTTGAAAACGACCCACCATCAAGCCGTGAAACTCTTGCAAATGTTTAAAGCGAATGTGCGCCGCGCGAAGGCGAGAGCCATATGTTGAAAACCACACGCCCTCAGTCCGCCAAACTCTTGCACATTGTTAAAACTCATGTGCGCCGCGCTGAGGCGAGAGTCACATGTTGAAAACCACACGCCCTCAATCCGTGAAACTCTTGCAAATGCGTAAAACGAGTGTGCGCCGCGCTGAGGCGAGAGTCACATGTTGAAAACCACCCGCCCGCAATCCGCGAAACTCTTGCAGATGTTTAGAACGAATGTGCGCCGCGCTAAGGCGAGAGCCACATGTTGAAAACCACCCGCCCTCCATCGGTGAAAATGTTGCAAAATTTTAAGTTTCAAAGTCACAGATGATGAGGACATCTCAGGCGAAACGCCCTGCCGGCCCTAAAAATGGACTCGTGGTGCGACAGGGCGAAGTTATGTATGAGAAAAAGGAATGGCGGAGGAGGAGGAGGAGGAGGAGGAGGGGGAGGAGGAAGAGGAGGAAAGGAAGAGGAGGAGGGGAGGAGGATGGGATATGAGGATGAGTGAGAAGGAGGAGGAGGAGGAGGAGGGAAGGAGGAGGAGGAGGAGGAGGAGGAGGAGGAGGAGGAGGAGGAGGAGCGAGGAGGAGAAGGAGGAGTAGGAGGAGGAAGGAGGAGGAGGAGGAGGAGGAGGAGGAGGAGGAGGAGGGGGAGGGGGGAGGGGCTGAGGGGAGGGGGGGGGGAGGGGGTTAGGGGGAGGGGAGAAGGAGGAGGAGGAGGAGGAGGAGGAGAGGAGAGTAGGAGGAGGGGGAGGAGGAAGGTATGAGGTGGAGGAGGGGAGGTGGAGGTGGTGGAGGAGGTGGAGGAGGAGGATGGAGGAGGAACGGTAGCAGCAGCGGCTGAGGGACACGCGCTCCTCCCCAATCTCGAAGGGGCGCTCGGGTCCCTGACTGATCGGGTCCCTCCTCCTCCTCCTCCTCCTCGTCCTCCTCCGCCTCCTCCTCCTCCTCCTCGGGCCCGATCTGCTTAGGGATTGGAACCCAGCCAGGGCGACGAGTGCATTCCCGGGACGATCGGCAAACACGCACCACAACCCCCCGAACCAGCAGCCTGACTCCCCACACCTCGCTGAGGACAACGAGAAGAGGGTGGATGACGAGGCAGACGACGACGACGCCGCCGCCGACGACGACGACGACGACGAAGGGAGGGAGGGAAGAGGACGGTATCGAGAAGGATGAGGACCATGATGAGCGAGCGGCCCTGGGGTGCCAACGTCCCCTGAGCACCTCCCCAGGGTGGCTGTCCCGTATGGAACCAAACAAAGACGGGACTCAATGTGCCGTCGTGCCAAGTGCTACGCATCTGATCGTCATGAGGCCCAGAAGGAGGAAGAGGAGGAGGAGGAGGAGGAGCGCCAGTACCTTCGATGAGTTCGAGGTCGACTGACTCAACGCCGCGGCCTCAGCTAGCTGCAAGGCTGGGTGGCTCCTGACGGAGAGGAAAGAAGGGCATGGTTGTGTGGCATGTTGCTCAAGGCCAGTTTGTGAACTTCAAGCTGCTGAGGGGCTGAGAGAGCCCGACCATCCTGCTCACCAGTAATTTCGTTAACTACGTGATAGATACAGAAGCAACGGACGGTGGCAAGGATGGCAGTCTCACGGGTCAGGTCGAGCGCAGGGTACTGCACTGGGAGACCGAGACCGAGAGACGGAGGAGCGGGCAGGGAGGGACCACGGCTCGAGGGCAAAAGACGAGGTGGGTGAGGCGAGGTAATGGTGATAGTGATGGAAAACAGGAGGAGAAGGAGGAGGAGGAGGAGAAGGAGGAGGAGGACGAGGAGGAGGCAGAGGAGGAGGACGAGGACGAGGAGGAGGAGGAGAAAGAGGACGAGGAGGAGGAGGAGAGGGGTGCGTCTCACTGAGACCATGTAGCCTTCAGCGGCAGCAGCAGCAAGAGGGAGATGGAGGAGGAGGAGGAGGGTGGTGAGGAGGAGGAGGAGGAGAGGGGAGGGGGTTCATCAATGGGGGAGGGCGGCACCAGCAAAAGCCTGGCCTACGCGCTCGAGAACGCGCAGGCAGACAGGCAAGGAAAAGGATAGGGACCAGGGAGACAGGGAGACAAGAGGCAGGGAGGGGACGGGCCCTCTTCGACCGTGAAACGCTTCCCTGCCCCTCCAGCTGAAGCACGGACTGCTGCGGGATCATCCTGAACACCTGCCGGGTACGCGCTTAGACCGCGGGGCCGCGGCGATGGCCTTTCCCTCCCCCTCCCCTCCCCCTCGTTCTCCAGTTCCTTCCCCTCCTCCGCCTCTCCCGCCTTCTCGGCTTTCTCTTCTGATTTCTTTTCCTTTTTCGCCTTCTTCTATGCCTCCTCCTCCTCCTCCCCCTGATCCTCCTCCTCCTCCTCCTTCCTCCCTCCTCCGCCTCCTTCCTCCTTCGTTTGCTTCATCTCCTTGAAGATAACTCTCCTCCCTGTCTCGCCCCGAGGCTGGTCGAAAGGGCGGGCCGTGCGTTTCGCCTCAGACTTCCTGATCACGTATGACCCTGACGCGTAAAAATTGGCAACCGCTTCGGGGATGGAGGGCGGGTGGTTCTCAACACGTGGCTCTCGCCCTAGCACCGCGCACAGTCGTCCTTAAACTCCGCAAGAGCTTCACGGACTGCGGGCGAGTCGTCTTCAAACTTTCGCTCTATTGCCTTGGCGCCGCGTGCAATCGATGAAAACGTTTTCTAGAAGAGCTTCAAGGGTGGAGGGCGGGTGGTTTCCAAGATGTGGCTCTCGCCTTAGCGCAGCACGCCCTCGTTTTAAACATGCAAGAGCTTCACGGATGGAGGGCGGGTCATTTTCAGACTGTGGCTCTCGCCTTGGCGCCGCGCACATTCGAGTGAAGCATGTACAAGAGTTTCACGGATTGAGGGCGGCTCCTTTTCAATATGAAGCTCTCGCTTCAGCGGTGCGCACATTCGTTTTCAACATTTCCAACTATTTCACGGGCTTCTTATGGTTAACGTACCCGAAATAAGGTTCTGGAGCGACTCAAGATTGCCAAGGCGCAACAATTACGTTAATGTGCGGTGCTGAAGTTCCGGGAATGGCGCTCTGGCACGGTTCAGGATCGTCAAGACGCCACAATCAAGTTGACTCGTGGCGTTGATGTTCCGAGAATGGAGTTTTGGCACGCTTCGGGATCTCCAAAAAGTTCTCTCCAAACGAGGCTTCCCCCTCAGTGAAAACATGAATCTCTGTAGGGGCCTCTGAGGATGAAGCTTTGAGGGAAGGTTTCTTCCAACATCGTTGATGAGTCTTGGCTGTGCACTGGTCCTCCACCTCCTCCATTTCATTAACTTCTCTCTCTCATCCATGTCCTCCTCCTCCTCCTGCTCCTCCTCTCCTGTGTCCTCCTCCTCCTTTTCTTCCTTACCATCGCCATTGCCATCACCATTACCATCAGCAGCACCACCATCATCACCATTATCATCTCCATCAACATCACATCACACCATCATCCTCATCATCATCAGCAGCAGCATCATCATCATCATCGTCATCATAAGCAGTATCGTAATCAGCATCACCAGCATAATAATCATCATCAGCATCAGCATCAGCATCATCATCGTCATCGTCATCATCATCATCATCACCACCATCATCATCACCAGCATCATCATGAGCATGAACATGAGCATCACCATCACCATCACCATCACCGTCGTCATCATCATCATCATCATCATCATCATCAGCATCATCATCATCATCATCATCGTGATCATCAGCAGCATCACCACCATCATCATCATCATCATCATCATCATCACCATCATCAGCATCATCATCGTCATCAGCATCACCATCATCATCAGCATCATCATAATCATCATCCCACTCTTGCTCATCTACTACCTTCTTCACGCTGCGGCTGCTGCTGCTCCTCCTCCCCCTGATCCTGCCCCCGCTCCCCCCTTCTCCCTTCTCCTCCCACGCATCCACCCTCTCCCCGCCTCCCTTTCATACCCATCCCACTCTCTCCCCCTTCGCCCATCCCGCCGAACCTCGCTTCCACGGCGAGTTGCGGCCAGGAGACCATGGCTGGACCTGAGTATAGGTATGGAACGGCCTCTGAGCCAGACTCGAACCCCTTAAGTTGACGGCCTCGCCTCGCCTCTGAAGGCGGACGAGCTCCACATTCGGGTAGGCAGTCATCTATCCATCCCCTTGCAGTAGCGGCGCGACGAAGACGACGGCCGAGGAGGGGAGCACGCGGGCCCCGCTTCCCGGGCCGCCGCGCGCACCAGAACGCTGCGAGGGCGGAGGCCCCTCCCCTCCTCGCGCCTCGAGAGGACGGAAGAGGGTAGGCAGGAGAGGAGCGAGGAAGGCCCGAGATGACCCCGCGGGACCGACGCTCGAAAACCCCCAGCGGGGCCACCGCAAAAGTAGCACGCGTCGATTCTCCGATGGGCAGCAGCTCAGGAGCACCGCTCCGAGGCCCCCGCCTCCTCCGCCGGCCTCCTGCAGCCGCCCTCGGAACAGCAGCGCGCGCCCTCGGCGAGCTGCGACTTTTCGCGCCCGCCCAACTGCAGCAGGCCAAGCAGCTTGATGCCTACGTGCCATGGGCAACTCGTCGGGCCATCGAGCTGGGCATGTGTTGTCATCGGGATTCGACGAGCGCGCTCCACTATTCGCAAAGTGACTACTCGCAAATGGCCTGGATCCGCCATAGGGGATTTACGATATATTACATCGATGCAGACATGTGTTTTTTCTCGGACGTTTGCGAGTAGGCACTTTGCGAGTAGTGGAGCGCGCTCGGTGAGGGATGGGGGAGTCGGTGGATCCTGAACACCCCGGGCGCCAGCCTGCGTGCTCGCCGCTGCGCCATGACTTGGTCTGGGCTTCGCCCAGAGCCGAGTGAAGCTGCTGGCGGTGTTGCGCAGGGGAGCGTACGGGCAACCCTCTTACGAGTTGTTTGCCTGGTGCTGGTCGGTTCTGCCGTCCTTCTGCCGCGGACGAGTGGCAGACACGTCCGCATTTCGCCCAGCCTGGCTTCATTCTGCGGCAGTGCCGCCGCGAGTCGGCGCAACCCTCGGAGCCGAGGCGAGACCCCCCGAGGCTGCCGAGGTGAGGGGCGCCGCCGCTGAATCTTGAGGCCCTCACTGCCCTGGGCCGCCGCGTGGCTCAGAGCGGCAGGGCCGTGTGTCGCGAACGGTGCGGCGCGGAGGTCAAGCGTGCGCGCGCGGGCCTCCGCTCTGAGACGGGGAGGCCGCTGCACCCTGTGCAACCAGGTCCTCGTGAACTGCGTGCTCCTGGCCCTGAGGTGCTGCTCTGCGGTCGGGAACTTTTGGACAGCGTGTCTCCGCGGCGGCCCGGGCGACATGCCCTGCCCTGCGAGTAGATGGCGTGTCGCTCCGCTGCGCGGGGCGGGAGGCTCGGAAAGGCTCGGGACGTGGACACCTGGGGACTGCAACGTGCATAGCGTGCTGCCCCAGAGCGCGGTGGGCCAGAACAGGCGGAGCGACAAGCTATCCCAAAGATCAAAACCATACTAACATCATTGTTGAAGGTCGCGTGCACGTCGCGAACCTAATCGTCCGTGGGATCGGGCACACTGCTGTGACAATCTGCTGTGGAAGGGCATCAGACTCTGGCGCGTAGTCGACATGCACTGCCAATACTGCCCTTCTGGGCACGAACGAGTCTAGAGCCAAGTCCGTGCGCCACCCAGAAAGCTCATTAGAACGGTGGAGCTTTCTGCCAGCTTGAGGCAGCAGCCGTGAAGTAGATCTTCGCGCAAGCGCAACAAGGAGCAGCAAAAAGCCATGGCGCAAAACTCAGGAGGCAAAACTAAGCACGGACAAATCAGCGCATCACCAGAAACATATGGGAACATGTGGGATGGCGGAGGGAAGACGAAGATCCAGACAATATTGAACCATGTTGGACATCTTGGAATGTGTGCCGACTTCTTCATGTTTGCCCGGACCTCTTCTGAAGCACTCTCATAGGACAGCCCGACGTCCGGGCCCCGCCGCCCAACGGCCCAAGCGGCGAGCAGAGAGCAGGAGCAGCCGATCGTTCTGAGCCTCATCGGCCTCTTCGGTGTCGCCCTCGCCTTCGGCCTCTTCGCCGCCCGCGCCACCTCCCCACTCGTGCAACCTCCGCCCTCTCCTCCGCCGCCCCCCCACTTCACTCTTGTGCCCCTCTCCTCCGCCCCCGGCCTCCGGCTGGTTCGAACCCGCGCTGCCCTGCTGGCCGCGCCACGCTCTGCGCCACGGGGTGCAACAGGCGGGGCGCGGCGCCACCGCGGGCTGGGCCGTGGGAAGCTGCGCAGCGGGCTGCGCCACGGGTCCAGCTGCGGGAGGTCTCGCCACACCTGCGCCATGGGTCTCGCCACGTGCTGCGCCAGGGGAGGCTGTGCCCTCGCCTGCGCCCTCTCGGCCGCCGCACACCGGAGCGGCGGTTATACCAATGATGGCTTCTACGAGGGGGAGATCAGGCTAGTGCAGCCCGAACCATGGCATCACGGGGGAATCATTAATAGCAAACCCAAGAACCGTCAGAACCGACGACGTGGACTCACCAGGAAAAAACGAAGGGGGGGATCGCAAAAACTGACGGAAAGACCTCCCTCACCACTAAAATAGGGTCACAAAAAATTGACGGCCGCCACCTCGGGAACTGCGGGGATATTGCAGCGAAGAGGAGGGGTTGGGAATTCTGACGACGGCGCGGCCGCCCGACCCGTTAGTCCCCTTTGCCGAAAGTGAGCCGACGACGGCGCGGCCAGAAAACCCCCAAGTCGCTTTCTCTTGGAGTCGCGCTAGTGATACCATGGTCTCCCCTTGTCTCCTCGGCTGTGGTGCGAAGAGGAGAGGAAGGGGTGATATGGCAACCTGGCAAATGCCGAGAACAAGCCGCGCAACATTCATAGGCTCGAACGCAGCGATATTAAAGGAGCGGGCCTTTAGGATCTTCTCGTCGGTGGCCTCGCTCCTCCTTCTGTAACTTGGCATTGCTCCAATTCCGTCCGATTCAGCCCGTCGATTGCACTCCTGCTGCTTCCGCGCTGGATCCACATCAATTCCTATATATCTGTGTAGGATAATATTGAGCAGTGTGGTCCCCAAACAATGTGTTTCTAGAAATACATGTCGTGCATCCTACGTGGAGAAATACATGTGGTGAAATCGACGCTGTGCAATGTACGTTGCGCAATCCCTGTTGTGCAATAAAGGTGGTGCAATCGACATGGTCCAATCTATGTTGTGCAATCCATGTGCTGCAGTAAATGTGATGCAAATTATGAAGTGCAATTCACTTTGACTGCCTTGAAGCTGTCCTCTCCACTGCTCGTGCAAACATCCCACCCTCCCACCCGCAACTTGGTCGCAAGACCTCTTAAGACCATGACGGTAGGTACCAAATGGCACTTGGCAACGACACCGACGCCAGCGACAACGACGACGACGACGACGACGCCGACGACGACTACGATGACACCGACGACGACTCGACGACTTCGACGACGACGACTACGACTACGACGACGACGACGCCGACGACGACGACGACGCCGACGCCGACGCCGACGACGACGACGATGACGACGCCGACGACGACGACGACGCCGACGACGACGCCGACGACGACGCCGACGCCGACGACGACGACGCCGACGACGACGAAGACGACGACGACGACGACGACGACACAGCGAACCGCGCGCGAACTGAAATTATAAGATTTTTGCCTGAGGTCATGTTTTTTTTGTTTTCTTCTTCTTCCATAGGTTGTAATGAAGTTGGATCTTGAAATTGTTGAGGACAAGAGCCGAAGGAGGAAGGTCCTCCCGGGGACGACGACGGATAGAGGCGCCACGACGCAGCCGCCCTCGTCCCGGGGCCTCGAACCCCTGACCTCCTATTGACGCAAAAAAATTGCGACGGGCGGTTGTTCCATGTTTTCAGCCTGCGGAGGCCGTCTCCGGGACCCCTGGAACGTAAAACAACGATTCTGGACAAGAAGCGTGCCCAGGGTAAAGCGCGCGCGGCCAGAATGTTTGATGTTTGTGCAGATTTGTTTCGAGGATGTATGGTACGATTCGTGTGATTTCAAGAAGCTCGGTCTTGAAATTGTTGAAACCGCAACGTGTTTGGAAGGAATTCGACCTGCGCGCGCGGCGGCCGCGCGCATGTGCCCCGCATAGTCATTTTAAGAAGGGATTGTGGCCCTGGCAGGCGCACGACCGATGTTGAAGGCGTTCGACGCGCGCGCATAAGTTGTTCGAGTGCCAGAAATTGTGAAAAGCCATAAGTTTTTTTCAGGATTCGGAAAGCGCGCGCGGGTAGATTGTTTGGATGTGTTTGCAGATTATGTTCGAGGATGTATGGTACGACTCGTGTGATTTCATGAGGCTGGGTCTTGAAACTGTTGAAACCACAATGTGCTTGGAAGGATGTCGACCTGCGCGCGCGCGGCGGCCGCGCACATGCGCCCCGCATGGTATTTTTTACGAGGGATTGTGGCCCTGGCAGGCGCGCGACCGTTATTGAATGAGACCGACGCGCGCGCAAAAGTTGCCCAAGAAGCCCGATTTGACAGGAATGTTGAAGAACCATTGGTTGTTGAAGGATTTGGCAAGAGCGCGCGGGCAGATGTTTCAGAATTTGTGGGTGAAAAAATCGTATATGTTCACAGGGTTTTCTTAAAGCGAAATATTAAAATTGTTTAAAACAGGATGAGTTTAAACAAACATCGACATGCGTGCGCAGCGGCCGCGCGCGTGTGCCCCGCATGATATGTGTGTAAAAAGGATTCGCGAAAAAGTGTTATGTTCGAACACAACATGTCACCGTACAGTATTTTTTGCCAGATCGCCGAAGGGGGACCGATACCAGCCTGGCTGGGATAGTATGAATCAGGTAGGATGGACATTGGGTCAGAATCACGTGTTTTGCATCGGTTCCCGGGGAATCGATAAGTTCGGGGGGGAGGGAGGTAGAACCTATCTCCTTTTAGGAAGGAGAATATATCAGGTGCTCTGTGGTGCTTTCGATGTTGTGCAATATATATATATATATATATATATATATATATATATATATATTCCTCTTCCTATATTTTTATAAGCCCGGGCGGGGGGAAAACCCATCCCCCCCCCAAAACCGGACTCCCAGGACCTGGGGCTTTGGGGCCCTCCAGACGGGCCTCGAAGCGGCCACCGGGCCTCGCAAGGCGTTTTGCCAAGCCTTCCCAGCACACTTAGGGCGATCAGGGGGGTCATCGGAGACGTCCCAGAGACCCCTAAGACAGCACAAGAGCGCTCCAAGAGTGACCGACGTGACCTCAAGATGGCCCAAGAGGCCTCCAGGACGGCCCCAAAGAGGCCTCCAAGAGCACTCCCAAGAAGGCCCCCCGAGGCAAAAATCATTGATGTTCTGTGGATTTTTGGTGAATTTTGGGGTTCTCCTCTTTTCGGCTTCCCGGCACTCCAAGACGGCGGTCTTCTGGGCGTCCGAAGCCGCCTGGGAGGCTCCCAAATCGCCCCACAGCCATCCGAAAGGGCTTCCAGGCAGTCCAAGAGAGCCCCAAAACGGCACAACACGGGTCCAAGATGGCCCTCAGAGAGCCCCATGGCGGCCCAAGATGGCCCAAAGACACCCTCCGAAGAATTCCAAATCGTGATTCGGTCGTTCAGGGAGACGGCGGTTGGAGGCAGGGTGGCCCGAGGAAGCCCCGGAGGCCCCCAGAATACGCCCAGGAGGCCTCCAGAAGGCCTTTACAAAGCCGGAAAAACTTTCTGTAAGGCCCCTAGAGGCTCTCCAAGGAGGATCTTCCGCAAAAAAGAGCTGAGGAGGATGTGGAGAATGCGCAGGGTATGGCGAACATAAGGAACAATAAGCATGAAGGAAGGATAACGAATAACATCATTATAGCGGCGATGCCGGAAAAGGCAACCAGGAGTTATCGCTAAATTGTCGGCTTGACCTTCCTGCCATTCTGCCTGCAAACCAAAGTTCAAGGACCAAGGTGCATGGCGCGAAGCGCCACTGCAGTCTTGTATATATATATATATTTATACTTCTATATATACATATACATATACATATACATATAATATATATATACATACATATACATATACATATACATATACATATACAAATGCATATACATATACATATACATATACATCTACATATACATATACATATACATAAACATATACATATACATATACATATACATATACATATACATATACATATGCATGCATACATGCATGCATACATACATACATACATACATGCATGCATACATGCATGCATGCATACATACATACATACATACATGCATGCATGCATGCATGCATACATACATACATACATACATACATACATACATACATACATACATACGTGTGTGTGTGTGTGTGCGTGTGTGTGTGTGCATGTGTGCATTTTTCATATATTTTGTATAGGGCCGGGGACGCCAGAAAAAGCCCCCCCGCAAACGAATTTGGCCCTCCCCGAGCCTCCAGGCAACCAATCAGACGACCTGGGAGAATCTCACGAGAGCCTGAAGACGGCCCCAGACGGGTTCCAGGCGTTCCGGCGCGCTCTCGAAACCACCCTAGCGAGTCCCAATACGGTCCACGACAATCCCCAAGAAGCCGTCATACCCCCAAAGATCGCTCCAAAACGTCCCAAGAGGCCTGAAAGAGTACTCCCAACAAGGCCCCAAGAGGCAAAAGTCATTGATTTTCTGTAGAATTTTGCAGAATTTAGGGGTTCTCTTCTTTTCGGCTTCCCGACGCTCCAAGACGGCGGTCTTCTGAGCGTCCGAAGCCGCCTGGGAGGCTCCAAAGTCGTCTCACAACCATCCGAAAGGGCTTCCAGGCAGTCCAAGAGAGCCCCAAAAAGGCACAACAGGGGTCCAAGATGGCCCTAAGAGAGCCCCATGGCGGCCCAAGAAGGCCCCAAGACACCCTCCGAAGCATTCCAAATCGTGACCTGGTCGTTCAGGGAGAACGCGGTTGGAGGCAGGGTGGCCCGAGGAGGCCTTCAGAGGGTCGTAAGAAAGCCTAAACAACTTTTGTGAGGCCCCCAGAGGGTCTCCAAGGAGGAGCCTCCGCAAAAAGAGCTGAGGAGGATGGGGAGAATGCGCAAGGTATGGCGAGAATGAGGAAAAAAAAGCACGGAAGGAAAATACCTAATAACATTACTACAACGGCGATGCCGGAAAAAGCAACAAGAAGTTATTGCTAAATTGTCAGCTTGACCTTCCTGCCATCCCGCCTGCATACCAAACTCCAAGGACGAAGGTGCAAGGCGCGAAACGCCACTGCAGTCTCTTGTGTGTATATATATATATGGCAAAATCTATGTCATGCAACTCATGTCGCGCAGTCTATGTGGTGCAATCTAGGCGAGGAACGGCGACGAAGCGACGACGGAGCGGCGACGGGGCGGCGACGGCGGCAACGAGGAAGCGGACCCGACAAACGAGCTCAGACAACGGGCGGCGACGGGGCGGCGACGGCAGGTACAAGGCGGCGGATCCGACAAACGAGCCCAAACGACAGGCGGCGACGAGGCGGCGATGGAACGCCGACGGCAACAACGAGGCGGCGGACCCGACAATCGAGCCCAGCTCCGTAGAAGACAAGCAGGAACCCCTAAGTGCAAACACGATTTGGGGAATGACCTCACATGCTGCTCCGATGTACAGATTCCGCACGCCGTGCAATCGATTATGTTGGCCTTCCCGTTCTTCATCCCGATCTGTCGCACCCCCTCGGCTTGCTGCTGCAATCGAGCATTCCTTTGTAGAGATGGCCTGCTACCGCACCCCTAACACAAAATTCTACAAATGCTCGTCGCTGAGCGCTCGCTGGCCACAAATAGGAGCAATGCGAACATGTCTCGTCCAACTTCGAGACAGAGATACCACAACGACTGCAACATCACATAAACGGAACGGTCAATGGGCGCAGCGAGTAGGATGAGGAACAAACAGGATAAATCTGGAACAGCGTATGGATCAGAAGCCAACGTAATTACTGCTCTTTCTACAATGCGACCAGGATCAAGGCGTTCCCCCATGCCCATCCTCGTTGCAGATGCCCTGGGTCTGGTGGATCTCTGCGAAGATGCCAAGCACAGTTCCAAGGTTCGCATTGTTGGCGCCCTCCCATTGCAGCAGCTTCGCAAACCCCAAATATGACATCCTGGAGGTGCCCTCTGTCCGTCCTGGGGGGCATCCCGTCGAGGTAGACAACATGCACGGGCAGTGTGGGTAACGCCCCCCCCCCCCGGATGAAGACCAGTTGCACCCCAGGACTCTGTGCTGCGGCCATGGCTCCGCTCGAGCAGTACAAGTGCCGCGCTCCCCATGCACGCATGACTCACTGCAGAATTGCACTGATTCCATTCACACGAGAACGCTTCATCCGTCCAGTGGTTCGCAGCCGCACGGGGCATCGTTGCTGCGCAGAGTCGTGGAACATGGCAGAGACGGCCGTGATACTCTGCCCTTCCCTGGACCTGCCGCAGTGGAACGAGGCTGCGCAGTGTCGAAAACGCCCACTCCCTCAAGCGGGACACCCTGGGGGAACGCCGCCCGAAGGCCGCTTTAACGACATTTAGGCAACAGACGATGCTCAGAGCCATTCGCGGTCCGCCTTACTGAAACGCTCGAAGGGCAAGCATGGGCAGTCATCTCTATTCCTATCACCACGAGCCGCTTCAAAGTCCTCGCGAACCCCGCCTCTTTCCTCCCACTCCTCCTCCTCGTCCTCCTCCTCCTCCTCCTCCTCCTCCTCCTCCTCCTCCTCCCCCTCCTCGTCCGCCGCTTCTTGATTCCTGATACCCCCCAGCTTCTCATGAAACGATCCCTCGCAGTTCTGCTTCGGGTCCGCGCCCGCTCCCGAGGCCACGAGGAGACACGGCCTGCGCTGCCAAGGCCAGGATCCCCTACTGTGAAGAGCAGCCGTGGTCCGCGCGAGCGAGGCACGCCACCACGCCGCAAAAAAAACAGCGGATCCGCGCTCGTGCGGCCACGAGCCCTCGCAGCATACGGTGGATCCGCGCTCGAGCAGCCGTGTGATCCCCTGCAGAGCACGGTGACGACGAGCAATGTGATCCCCTGCAGAGCACAATGGTGATATGTTTGGGGATCCCCTGCCGTCTGATCCCCTGCCGGTGGATCCGCGCTCGAGCAGCCGTGTGATCCGCTGAGGGCGCTGGTGCCGCGGCAAGAAGTGTCCACGCCCGTGGCGGTAAGGCGATGCAGCATATGATAACAACCACAGCTGCGAGATGCCCTCGCTTCTCACACCCCTCCACCCCCGAACCCGAAGTGGAAACGTTCACATTTTGTGCCTGGCCGGTGGCCTGCCACCCACACCCGTCAACCTTGAATTTGGGGGAAGGCTGGTACGGTGGGGGCATTGGAGAAGGAACCCTTCGATAAAGAATCCAGAGTCTGGAGGCCGGTGGAACTCCAATCGAGGCTTGGCCATGGATATCACCGCCTCCCTCATCAGATAAGGAATCCTCCAGGGTCTGCAGCATCCTGGGCGCATTCCTGAACCAACGCCCCACCGTATGCATTTTTGTCCGACGTGCTTTGATAACTCAAGGTCTTGGCGAGACACGTGTGGACACTCCTAGTCCACCCAGCGGCGCAGCCTCAGCCCCTCTCATGATGCACCCCCAGCCCCGCCAACTTCTCCGATTCGCCGTTCCCTTCTTGGCGAGCGCACCAACCAGCCAGCCAGCATGCCTGCCAGCCAACCAGCGGAGCTGCCAACCTGCCAGCAAGTTAGCCGATCAACCCGCCAGCCCAACCAATCGACCCAGCCATGCAGGCAATCGAAAGGGAGGCCCGCGGCAGGGGGGCGAAGCCAGAGGAACAAACAACTGCAAACATACATCTGCTCTAAGGTCCGCGCGGACTTCTTGGATCGGCGCTGGACCCCCCCTGGCGGCGCCTCCGGCGAGAGGGGTCCAGCGCCGATCCAAGAAATCTGCGCGAAGATCCGGAATTTTGTATGCTTGCGCCTGCTTTCCGTCCTCAGGGAAGCCCTTCAGGTCCGCCGGCCCTCTGTGATGTTCTCACCCGGATTCTTGGCGTGCCAAGCAGACTACCTACCAGGCCCCCCCAACCCAACCCGAAGACCCAAATTTCGGGTTGGGGGGGTACGGGTTCCACGTGTGTTTCTGCAATGTTCCCCGACGCTCCCCTCCCCCCACAATGGGAATGGATGGCAAATTAAAACCTTCGGGTTGGGACGGGGCGGTTTGGTGGGTGGTGACCAGAAATCTGCGCCTGTGCTGCTCTTGATAATTCGAGGATGGATAGAAGGAAAGAGACGATGACCATGACCAAGACCGAGCGCTAAAACGTTGGTGCACGTACCAGCCTCGAACGTCGTCCATCTTGGTCATCGCCAGTCCGTGGATCGCCCTCGCGAATCAACCAGGGCCACAATGGATCATCCTGGTGAATTCGGTCGTGGTGGTCCTCCTCCTCCTTGTTCTCCTACTCCTCCTCCCCCTCCTCCTCCTTCTCCTCCTCCTCCTCCTTCCTCCTCCTCCTCCTCCTCCTCCTTCTCCTCCTCCTCCTTTTCCTCCTCTTCCTCCTTTCTCTCCTCCTCCTCCTCCTTTTCCTCCTTTTCCTCCTCCTCCTCCTACTCCTCCTCCTCCTCCTCCTCCTCCTCCTCCTCCTCCTCCTCCTCCTCCTCCCCCACGTGCCCTTCGCCCTCTGCCTTTGCCACCGCCGCCGCCCTCGCCGCCACACAGATGCCTCCCGAGGACGCCGACAAGACTGCTAGGGCTGGCCAAAACGGCCTCCAGGACTCTTCCCAAACGACCAAGACGGCCCCCAAGACTACAGCAGGAGCTCGACCACAAGAAACCTTCCACAAGACACCCAACCCTCAGACCCCAGGACGTCCATCGATTTCTGGTGTGGGAACGTCACCCTTCCATAGCGAAACCATCGAAACCCAAGAAACCCAGGGCACCCTGGAGGCAAGCAGGGTGTTTCGTGGCATGGGTTTCCACTGTACGCAGAATGGCCCACACACGGTCCCAGAAGCTCTTTCGGGTGTCTCTTGGGCCGCCTTGGGTGCCCTCGAAGCCTGCCCACGAGGACAAGTAGGCCCAGGAGCGGCCCAAGACAAAAGGGCCCCCAAAGATGACCCAACAAGGCCTCAAGACGGCATAGTATGGCCTCAAGACGGCCCCAAAGGGACCCAGGCGATCCCAAAGACGGCCTCCGCGGGCGTCAGACGGCCCAAGAGAGCACCCTAAGATGGTTCAAGAGGGCCCCAATTTGGCCCAATAGGCCCCGCGGATCCTTCTCTCTCTCTCTCTCACCCTTTCCCTCTCTCTCTCTCAATGTGTGTCTCTCTCTCTCTCTCTTTCTCCTTCCCTCGGCGGCTAGAGTAAGCCCTGTGTGTGGCCCCGTCGTTGCGGCAACAAGTGGGGTAACATGGCTGCGGAGTGCAATCGCGCTACTTCTCGCTTCGTTCCTATGAAGTGCAAAACCCTGTAAGCAAGCGCCTACACACTACGCCAGGACTCCTGAAATCTCTGGCCCAAACGGGCGTGTCCAAAAAGCAGGGGACGGCGCTGACTCGCTGTAGGAGTCTTCAAGATCCGCCTCCTCCTCCTCCTGCTCCTCCTTCTCCTCCTCCTCCTCCTCCTCCTCCTCCTCCTCCTCCTCCTCCTCCTCCTCCTCCTCCTCCTCCTCCTCCCCCTCCTCCCCCTCCTCCCCCTCCTCCCGTCCCCTTCCTCCCCCGCCTACTTGCATGGGTCCTCCTGACTCTCGGCTCGGCCCGAGGCAGCAGCGGCCCCCGCTCCCCGCCAGGAGGCTCTGATTCTGCGCAGCAACCTGGTCCACAATCTTCCCGTGCACTGCCTGCGCCTCCTCCCAGTCGTCGCGCAGGGGCAGCTTGGACAGAATCAGGCTCCAGGCCTCCCGCATCCACTCGGCAGTGCAGGGCCGGCGCTTGCGTTCTGCGGCAGCACTGGCACAGTTGGCCCCCTCCAGTCCATTCCGCCAAAACTCTCGCGTGCGGCGACAAGGGCAAGGCGTGACTCCCTGGCCAATAGCATTAAAAACTGGCATCTACAGCCAATGCGCTCGACACTGTTACCGCATCGCGCAGTAGCGATTGCAATGCCTGCATGTGCTTGCTTGGCTGCTCTGCTGCCCACCCCACGCATGACTTGGGCGTATCATGGACAAATCGTCGACACACAACAGGCGCAACAAAGCGTGCTCTCTTACTCTCTGAATACCGTTGCTCCGAAATTGAATGAACAACTGCGTGCTCCTGAACCTCGCATGCATTATCCACAGAGCCTCGACGTCGTGAGCGAGTGCACTTTGCTTGACTAGAGCGTAAGAGTATGATAATCAGTCGCAAAAACAGCAATTCTAACACGAGTAATGGGCCTGTCATGAGCTGCGACGCATTGAAGATTGAACGACAAAGATGAAAACAGCAGCGTCGTGTTCGCGCATGCCAGCATGCGGTCCTGAACTTCTGGAGGGCAGTGCCCAGAGGCGCCGATGGCCAGTGATGTCAGCGCGCCCACCGCGTTGTCATACGCGGTCAGTGCCCTGGGGAAGCGCAGTCACTTCAGACCAGACCAACACACAACCCGTGCATTGAGACCGGCGCGTGGACCCCAAAGAGTGAGGCAGGGGGGGCAGCCGGGAGGCGAGGCCAGACAAGATTGGCAGCGAAGAGGCACGCCCCAGAGGCAGGGGCAGGCACGGAGAGGGCCGAAAGAGAACAAGACGTCGCCAGGCAAGAGAAGCACCAGAGTCAGGGACCGTCGAGGACAGCGCCGAACAAAGAGACGCACTGCCAAATACTATGCCAGGCAAGGAAATCACTCTCGTGCTCGTTCTTGAAAATGGAATCCGCGTGCAATGGGTGAAAGAGCTTTGCAAAACGAAGGAACCTCCTGTACTCACGTAGCTTGAGCGCTAGGGGCCGCAGTGATTGGCAATGTGTGAAAGACAAGGACAAGATATCTAGCTCAGGTGGACGTGAGGAGAGGCTTGGCTGAGCGAAGAAGGGTGTACTAACTTCTGTCGGACCTTCACCTGGAACCAAAGATCTGGGAACCCAAGTCGGCCACCGAAACTTGCCCCGTACCCCACCTCGAAATCAAAAGCAATTCTTTCCCGCGACATGGCGACGTCCCAGGGCCGCCAATTTCAATGTTGACGCCGATGCTGGCGACTGCAATTTGTTTGTTGATCCAGCGGGCCGCGCTGCGCACGCTCATCAACATTGAAATCTGGGGGCGAGGGGGCAAGGTAAAAACTTGCGTTTGATTTCGAGGGGGCTTGTAAGACCCCTTCAGTGCAAGCACTGATTGGAGAACCAGGCTTTCCTATCCTGCTCCGGCTTCTGCTCCTGATTACGCCCCCGCTTCATTGCAAACGAGTCATGGCAACATGGACAAACAACATTCAGACAGAATGTGGATTGTGGCTCCGAGACGGCCCCAGAGACACCCAAGACGGCCCAAGAGGGCTCCGAGCCGCCGACAGACAGACCGGTTCACAACGCTAAAGATATCTCAAGATGGCCTCCAGACGGCCCACGAGGCGTGCAACACGTCCCAAAAGGCCTCCAAGAGCACTTCCCAACGGGTCCCAAGACGCAAAAATCGTCTTGGTAAAACTTCCACTTCTACCAGCTTCGCTTCTTGGACGTTCACAGCGCCCAAGACGGCCCAAGAGGCCGTGAAGCTCGCCCCAAGATGGCCCAGGAGGCCTCCAGAGGGACTCCAAGACGGCTCAAAAGGGTTCCAAAACAGCCCAAGACGCCTCCAGGACGGCCCGAGAGGTCCCAAAGATAGCCATAGGAGGACCTCAAGTGGGGGAACGTGAACTCTTCTCGAACGTCCCGCCACAGAAATACCTCTGAGGCCGCCAGCAGGCTCCCTAAAGGCCCCCGCGAGACTCAAAGAAGCCGCCTAGAGACCCACGTGAGACCCAAAGAGGCCCAAAAACGGTGCCCAAGGGACCAAATTATCCTACAAGCACGGGCACAACTGCAGGATAGGCCGAAAATAGCTATATCTATGGTTGTTATCTGTATGTTTGTATGCGTGTACATATGTTGTATGTATGTTTGTATGCGTGTACATATATATATATATATATATATATACATATATATATATATATATATATGTGTGGGTATGCGTATGTATGTATGTATGTATGTATGCACGTATGTGCGTATGTATGTATGTATGCATGCATGCATGTGTGTATGCATGTATGTATGTATGTATGTATGTATGTATGTGTGTATGTATGTGTGTATGTATGTATGTACGTATGCATGCATGCATGCATGTATGTTTGTTTGTATGTATGTTTGTATGTATGTATATATGTGTGTATGTATGTATGTATGTATGTATGTATGTATGTATGTATGTATGTATGGTTGTATGTATGTATGTATGTATGTGTATATGGTTGTATGTGTGTATGTATGTATGTATGTATGTATGTATGTATGTATGTATGCATGTATGTATGTATGTATGTATGTATGTATGTATGTATGTATGTATGTATGTATGTATGTATGTATGTGTGTATGCATGCATTCATGTATACATGCACGTATACACATATAGATACATACATATGTATGTGTATGTATGCATGTGTGAATGTATGATGTTTCCATGCTTGTATGTATGTATATATATGTATATACGTATACATTCCCATTCACATACGTTCATAAGACCTGGGACGCCGGACAAAACATAAAAATAAAAGGAAAAAACTCCCCCCCCTCTAACGAATTTGGCCCTCCCCTGGCCTCTGGGCCACCCTCCAGACGACCTGGGAGAACCTCACGAGAGCCCGAAGACGGCCCCAGACGGGTTCCAGGCGTCCCAGCGCGCTCCCGAAACGACCCCAGCGAGCCCCAATACGGTCCACGACGACACCCAAGAAGCCGTCATACCCCCAAAGATCTCTCCAAAACGTCCCAAGAGGCCTCCAAGAGCACTCCCGAGGCCCCAAGAGGCAAAATCATGATTTTCTGCTAGTTTGGGGTGAACTTGGGGGTTCTCCTCTTTTCGGCTTCCCGACGCTCCAAGACGGCGGTCTTCTGGGCGTCCGAAGCCGCCTGGGAGGCTCCGAAATCGCCCCACAACCATCCGAAAGAGCTTCCAGGCAGTTCAAGAGAGCCCCGAAACGGCACAACAGGGGTTTAAGATGGCCCCAAGAGAGCCCCATGGCGGCCCAAGATGGCCCCAAGACACCCTCCGAAGCATTTCAAATCGCGACCTGGTCGTTCAGGGAGACCGCGGTTGGAGGCAGGGTGACCCGAGGAAGCCCCCAGAGGCCCCCAGAACACGCCCAGGAGGCCTCTAGAAGGCCTTAAGAACCTGAAGAACTTTCTGTGAGGCCCCCAGAGGCTCTCCAAGGAAGAGCCTCTGCAAAAAGAGCTGAGGAGGATAGGGAGAATGCGCGGGGTATGGCGAGAATGAGGAAAAAGAAGCATGGAGGAAAGATAACGAAAAACATGTTCATAACGGCGATGCCGGAGAAGACAACATAATCAATAAGTATCGCTAAATTGTCCGCTTGACCTTCCTGCCATTCCGCCTGCATACCAAACTTCAAGGACCAAGGTGCATGGCGCGAAGCGCCACTGCATTCTTGTGTATCTCTCTCTATATGTGTGTATATATACATATATATATATATATATATATATATATGTATGCGCTCTGATCCACCACTCGGGCATGCTCCGTTCCACTTGTCTCATGTCATCTGGTCCATGCTCTTCTAGTTCACGACCAAGGCACGGTGGCTTGTGGTTCGCGACAGACAAACGGTTGCGGGTTGCCTCTCACGGCGCTTCCACGGTTTTTGTCTCCCCTTCTCTCCTCCTCCTCCTCCTACTCCTCCTCCTCCTCATCATCAGTCTAATCATCGTTGTCATTGCTATCTTCTCCGTCACCGTCGCCATCCTCCTGCATCTCCCCTTCCTCATCCCCCTCCCCTCCTAATACACAGCCTCTTCGAACGCACGCGGAAATACCCCGCCGAACCCCGCTGGCCGAATGTGAAAAGGCATGTGAATGCTCGGCTGACCGCTTCCCCCCTTTCCCATGAAATCCAGACTCTCAAGAGGGCAGACAGAAGACCCACAGGACCCTCCCTGCCTCCCGAACCTCAGCACAGATCCCGGGAAAGCTCCCAAACAGATCCCAAAAAGACCCACGGGACGCCCCCCTGCCCGATCCAAGTGAATCTCGAGGCACGCAACGACTCAAAGGGGCCGGCGGATGTGGCGCAAGCCTGTAGTGTAGCA